GCAGGCCACTTCCCAACAGGGGATGCACAAGAGGCAACCATACATTGATGTTTCTCTCCCTCTCTCCTTCCCTTTCCCTCTAAAGATGAATAAATAAAAAATCTTAAAATTATAAAACAAACAAACTTGAAAAATAACAGCAAACGAGCCCAAATTGAATAGAAGGAAATAAGATCAGAGCAGAAATAAATGAAATAGAGTCTAAAGAATGATACAAAAGATCAATGAATCCGAGAGCTAGTTCTTTGAAGAGATAGACAAGATCGACAAATCTTTGACCAGACTCAAGAAAAAAAGAGAAAGGACCCAAATAAATAAAATCAGAAATGAAAGAAGAGAAATAACAACTGATACTGAAGATATACAAAGGATCATGTAAGAAAGTATTATGAACAACTGTATGCCAACAAACTGGACAACCTGAATGAAATGGATAAATTCTTAGAATCATGGACCCCCCAGCAGCCTAGACTGGAACATACAATCTTCCCAAACTAATCCAGGAAGAATCAAAGAATCTGAATAGACCAATTACACCTAGTGAAATTGAAGCAGTAATCAAAAAACTCCCAACAAACAAAAGCCCTGAACCGGACGACTTCACAGGTGAATTTTACCAAACATTCCAAGAAGAACTAACACCTCCCCTCCTCAAACTATTTAGTAAATTTCAAGAGGCGGGAAGGCTCCCAAACTCATTTTACAAGGCTAGCATTATCTTAATTGCAAAGTCAGATAAAGACACTACAAAAAAGGAAAATTACAGGCCAATGTCCTTGATGAACATAGATGCTAAAACCCTCAACAAAATGTTAGCAAACCAAATAGAACAATGCACCAAATAGATCATACACCATGATCAAGTGAGATTTATTCCAGGAATGTAAGGTTGGTACAACATTCGCAAATCAATAAATGTGATTCACATTTAAACAAAATGAAGGATAAAACCCACATGACCATATCAATAGATGCAAAAAAACACTTGATAAAATCCAGCACCCATTTATGATAAAAACTCTAACCAAAGCAGGATTAGAGGGAACATTCCTAAACATAATAAAGACCGTATGTGACGAACCCATTGCCAGCATCATACTCAATGGGCAAAAACTATAAGCATTCTCCTTAAGATCAGGGACTAGACAGGGATGTTCACTTTCCTCTCTTTTCTTTTTTTTTAATTTAATTTATTTATCTTTGGAAGGGAAGGGAAGGAGAGAAGGAGAGAAATATCAATGTATGGTTGCTTTTGGTGCATCCCCTGCTGGGAACTGGCCCCTGCCGGGAACTGGCCTGCAACCCAGGCATGTGCCCTGATGGGGAATCGAACCACGATCTTTTGGTTCGCAGGCCCATGCTCAATCCACTGAGCCACACCAGCCAGGGCTCTTTTCTTCAACGTAGTACTGGAAGTCCTAGCCATAGCAATCAGACAAGAAGAAATAAAAAAAACCTTCCTTTTGATCCAACTTCTGGGAATCCCACTTCTAGGAATATACTTGAAGGAACCCAAAATATTAATTCAAAAGAATGTAAGTACCCCTATGTTCACTGTAGTGTTATTTACAATCAAAATTGGAAAGGAAGAGATAAAACTGTCATTATTTGCAGATGACATAATACTGTACATAGAGAACCCCAAAGATTCCACCAAGAAACTATTGGAATTTATAAATGAATTCAGCAAAGTAATGATCCAGAAATCAGTTGCATATTTATATGCCAATAATGAACTAACAGAAAGGGTAATTAAGAAAAAACCCCATTCACAATTGCTACAAAAAGAATAAAACACCTAGTAATAAACCTAAGCAAAAATATCAAAGACCTGTACTCAGAGAATTATAAGACACAAGAAAGAAATTGAAGAAAATATAAATAAGTGGAAGTACATACTATGTTCATGGATAGGAAGAATTAACCTCACTAAAATGCCTATGCTACCCCCAAAGCAATCTATAGATTCGGTGTACTTCCTATCAAGATTCCAATGGCATACTTCACCCTGGCTGGCATAGCTCAGTGGATTCAGTGCAGGCCTGCGAACCAGAGGATCGAGGTTCGATTCCCAGTCAGGGCACAGGCCTGGGTTGCAGGCCAGTTCCCAGGAGAGGCAACCATACGTTGATATTTCTCTCCTTCCCTTTCCCTCTAAAGATAAATAAATAAAATTTAAAAAAAGATTCCAATGGCATACTTCATATAACTAGAACAAATATTTCAAAATTTATATGGAACCACAAAATGCCCAACATTAGCAACAGTGAGAAAGAAGAACGAAGTTGGAGGAATCATGCTGCCTAATATGAAACTATACTCTAAGACAACAGTAATCAAAACAGCATGGTACGGTCATAAAAACAGACACATAGATCAATGAAACAGAATAGAGAGCCCAGAAATAAAACTACAGTTTTATAGTCAATTAATATTCAACAGAGGAAGCAAGTACATACAATGAGCTAAAAATAGTTAATTTAATAAATGGTGTTGGGGAAATTGAACAGATACATGCAGAAAAATGAAACTACACCACACACAAGGATAAATTCAAAATGGATCAAAGACTTAAATGTTATATCCAAAACCATAAAAATCATAAGAAAACATAGGCAGCAAAATCTTGGACATTGCTTGTAGGAATATTTTATTAGATATATCTCCCCAGACAAGAGAAACAAAAGAAAAAAATAAACAATGGGACTACATCAAACTAAAAAAGAATTTGCACAGCAAAGGAAATCATCAACAAAATGAAAAGACAACCCACAGAATGGGAGACCATATTTGCTGATATATCTGGTAGGGGTTAATATCCAAAATTTATTAAAAAATTTATAAAACTCAATGCCAAAGATGCAAACAAACCCAATTTTAAAAAATGGGCAAAGGACCTGAATAGACATTTCTCCAAAGAGGACAAGCAGATGGCCAATAGACATACAAAAAGATGCTCAACATCACTAATCATCAGAGAAATGCAAATTAAAGCCACAATGAGATATCACCTCACACCTGTCAGAATGGCTGTCGTCAATAAATCAACAAACAGCAAGTGCTGGTGAGGATGTGGAGAAACAAGAACCCTAGTGCACTGTTGGTGGGAATGCAGACTGGTGCAGCCTCTGTGGGAAGCAGTATGGAGATACCTCAAAAAATTAAAAATGGATCTGCCTTTTGATCTAGTGATCCCACTTCTGAAAATATATCTGAAGGAACCCAAAATGCTAATTTGAAAAAACATAAGCACCTTATGTTCATTGCGGTGTTATTTACAATCTCTAAGATATGGAAGCCACCCAAGTGTCCATCAGTAGATGAGTGGATTAAAACAACTATGGGACATTTACAGAATGGAATACTACTCGGCTGTAAAAAAGAAAATACACTTTGTGACAGTATGGATGGACCTGGAGAACATTATGCTAAGTGAAATAAGCCACTCAGAGAAAGACAAATACCATATGATTTCACTCATATGTGGAATCTAATGAACAAACTGTAACAAGGAAAATGGGGACAGACTCATAGAGGGAGAGCAGATGACAGCTAAGGAGTCAGGGGAGAGGTAGGGGTGGAGGGATGGAGCAAAAATGAAAAAAGGACTCATGGACATGGACAACAGTCTGGTGACTGTGGGGAGGAATGGGTATAAGGGGACTAAATGGTAATGCAAGAACTACAATAAAGATTAAATTAAAGAACAATTGCATTCCAACTAAAAGTCCATGTGAGCCCTGACCTCTGTGGCTCAGTTGGTTGGGCGTTGTTCTGCAAAGGGAAGGGTCATGGGTTAGATTCCCAGTCGGGGCACTTGCCTGGGTTGTGGGTTCTGTTCCTGATTGGGGCACATACGAGAGCAGCCAATTGATGTTTCTCATATTGATGTTTTTCTCCCTCTTGTTCTCCCTCCCTTCCTCTCTCTAAAAAGTGAATAAAATCTTTTTTTAAAATAAGTCTGTCCGAGATCATCAGGATGATAAAAAAGCAAGAACCAGCCATATGCTATCTCCAAGAAATCTATTTTAAAACCCAGGTCACAGGTTCACTGTGAATGAATAGGAAGAGAAGTACTGCATAAACACTAATCTTCAGACAGCTGGGATGCCTGTATTTATAGCAGAGAAGGTTGATGTAATGACAAAGTATTACCAAAGACAGAAAGGGAGATCTCATAATAATGAAAGGGTAATTCATCGGTGTGTGCCTAATGACAGAGCTTCAAAACTGCGAGGGAAAAAAATGGACAGAATTAAAGAGAGAAATACACAAATCTGCAATCGCAGTTGGAGATATCATCACCCCCTCTCAGACTGATAGAATAACTAGACCATAAAATCAGCGAGGCGGTGGCCCATCTGGAGCAGCGGCGGGACGCACATCCGGAAACATTCACCAGACCGAACCTGCGGGGCCCAGGGACAAGCTCCAAATGCCCACGCACTGAAATCACAGAGTGTTGGGGTTAAGGTAGAACCCCAAAAGGGATCTAAAAGAACTCCCAAACAACTACAAATCAAACCACACAACACTAAACAACCCGTGAGGCAAAGAAGAAACCACAGCAAAATTTAGCAAACGTTTGAATGGGACGAATATGAAGAGAGAACATATCAAAATTGGTGGGATGCACCAAAAGCCACACTGAGAGGGAAATTGTTAGTGGTGAACTAGAGGCCAACAAGTGCATGGGGTTTAGGGTCTCTGACATCCCCAAATTGAAGGTGTCATTGGTTATCTGTCATAGGGGCTTCTTTGCAGTTGACCCACCTGGACACCCCAACCACAGCAACCCCCACCATGACTCTCCCTGCGCTGATAATCACTAATTCCCAGTCTGCCTTGTCCAGGACTTTAGGAGCTCAGGGGGTGGTCTTGGTCTCTGCTGTCCCCCCAGGGTCCAGCTCAGTGTCCATGTCCTATTTGTCAACCAGGAGCTCCAGGGGCATAAGGAGCACTGAACCCCAGGCCACCCCACCTGCGGCACAGGTACTTACGCTTGTCCAGCTGGTCCCCGATCACCCTGAGGAAGGCCACGGAGATCATGAGCAGGTTGACGATGAAGCAGACCTCACACAGCTTCCCGATGGCTGGCCCACACAGCTCTCCAACCACGCCCTGGTAGGTGGCCTGGCCACTGATGGAGGCGGCATAGCCCAGGATGACCAGCCCACTGATCAGGAAGGCCAAGGACACCTGTAGAGCAGAGCTGTGGGCCAGGGTGCTCCCTGGAGCCACCAGCTGCCCCTGGGGACCTCAGTATGGCTCCCTCCACAGGGCCTTGTACCTGCAGAGGTCATGGCTGCCTACAGCCTAGGGGGCCCGCCCCTGCCCAGAGCAGAGCAGGTAGACTGTTGGGCCTCACTGGCCGTCAGGGGGCCGAGGAGTTGGTTTTCTGCCTCCTGAGCTCACGAGGGGAAGAAGATAACTATGGACCTGGACAGAGAGTGTCCTCTACCTTCCTGGGTCTGCTGCCAGCCAGGGCTCAGAGAGTCTTGGCACAACACCTGAATCCAATGAACCTGGTGTTTCAGCTGAAAAGGTGCTGAGAACACAGTGTCTGAGCAACTGCCCGGATGAATGGTGGGGATCCATACACACCATTCTGCCCAGTCGGGCAGACTCGGCATCAGAAACCCAGAGTCTACATGACCGTGCTAAAGCCACACAGGTTACCTGCATGAATCACCCAAAGGGACACAAGTGTACCTCTATCGAGATACAGAGCATTCTACCACACCTCTAAAGTGCCCCCTGTCCCTTCCCACTTTCTGTCCCCATCCTGTCCCCAGAAGAAACTACTGATCTAGTGTCTATTTGTACATATTTTTGTGTCTGGCTTCCTCGACTCTGCCACCGTGTCTGTGAGGTCCGGCCATGCTGGACACATCGGATGCTGCTCCTGTTTCTGCAGTGTGCCACTCCACTGTGCGGACGCAGTCACAGCTGCTCCACCCGTCCGCTGCTGACAGACACGGGGTCGTTTTTAGTTTCTGGCCACTGTGATTAAAGCACTGAGCCCTCCAGAACAAGTCACTTTGAGGACACTTTGTCCTCCTGGACACAATCTTGGGAGAAATGCTGGGTCATAGGGCAGATGTGTTTCCAACGCTAAGATATCGCCAAACTGCTTTCCAAAGTGTCAGTGTCACTGGATGCCCCCTCCGTGCGTGGGAGCCCCACTTGCTGCACAGAGTTTAATGGCTTTGAGTCTCTCCAGCACCAACGGCTACTGGCCTGCAAACTGAACTTGGTCTCCTGGCCTCAACACCCCTCCCTTGGTTCTGGGGAAAAGAGTAATGCAAGAGAGGGGATGTGCTCAGCTCAGAGGCCTGGGGGAAGCTAGGATGGCTGTCCCCAGACACAGTTCATGCCCCTGGACAGGCAGATCTGTTCTGTACTAGTCCAGAAGCCACAGCTACAGCTGCCGAGGAGAAGCATCTAACTGAACTGTGTGAAAAGAACTTGAACCTTTAGAGTCAGAAGGGACATACGGCGCCCTCCAGCCAACGGACCCCGGTCCACCTGGCTCCTCCTCCCGGAATGCCCACTGGCCTCCACCACTTCCCCTCACCTAGGGAATGCTCGCTCTTCTTTCCCCTTCTCTGCAAGGTCACTTCCTCCCGAAAGCCTCCTGATACTTCACCCCAAGGGGCTCTCACAACCGCTGCCCCTGAGCTGAGGCTCCGAGAAAACCTCGTGCCTGCTCTGGGCTGCATGGAGGTGCCCCAGAGGGACTTACTGGGCAGTCTCTGCAGACAGTAAGTAATGAAGTGGGAAGGGGTTTTTGCAGGTGTCATTAAGGAGCTCGAGATGAGGTCACCCTGGGCCTTCTGGGTGACCCTGAAACCCATGACAAGTGCCTCATAAAAGACAGAAGAGAAACCATAAAGAAGGCTTTGTGATGGTGGGAGAGGGGTTGGAGGAATCTGGCCACCAGGAGCTGAAAGAGCCAGGGAGGACCCTCTCCTGGAGCCCCCAGAGGGAGCTGAGCCCCTGCTGGCACCTAGATTTCAGACTCCTGGCACCCAGAGGACACATTTCTGTGGTTTTAAGCCACCCAGTGTGTGGTCCTCGGTCAAGCAGGGGTCTCTAAGCTCTGTGAAGCCTGGGGTTGTGCCATGCTTTGCTCACCACTTAGTCCCCAGAGGAGTCTCTGACACTATCTGGGACAAAGGGAAGGGAGGTGGGGACAGAGAGACCCTGAGCCTCTGAGCAGCAGGACAAGAACAGCCCTCACCCCCTCAAGCCCAGGCTCCGCCTCTGCAGCTTCTGAGAGAGGGTCAAGGGTCAATAAATTTCAGTAATCCTTCAGTGCTAAAGGGGTCACGAGAGACCTACCACCTCGCATCACTGGGCCTCCTGATGGTGGGGTTTTAAATGCACCCCCAATCCGAGTTGGTACCTTGTAAAGGGCACAGGGCAGAAGTCTCACTGGCTAAGAGGAGGGGAGAAGTGGGAAGGCAGTGCGCCCAGTACCCTTGTCCGGGGTTTCTGTTTTGCATTTCTTTAGACAGCACCGCACAATGCGCAAGCCCTACCAGCAGGCAGCAGTCGCGCCCCCGGCCTCATCACAGATGCAGTCTCAGACCCACCCAGTCCTGCTGAGTTGGCATCTGCATTTCAGCAAGGTGCCCAGGAGATGCTGCACACAGTGTGAGGAGTGAGGGGGCCCTCAGCTTTGCCTGCCCCCTGGGACTGGCCACCTCTGTGGTAACCACGCCCCCTCCCCCGCAGCCCTGTGGCTTTACAGCAGTTCTCGTGGCTGGAGTGAAGCCTTTCCTCACTGTTATGATAGGGCAGCCTTTCTGCTGCACGCATCCCAACACAGCTTTGTTGCCCCTCTCTTGCACCTGGACAGGTTCTTTCATTTGCCCTGGGGCCCAGCTCAACGGCACCTCCTCAGACTGGCCTTCTCTGACCACCCAGGTCATGTCGTTCCACCTGTCATATGACCCTCCTAACACACTCCCCACGGTCCGAAATACCTTATTTGACTTTTTGTATCTAGCCCTATGCCTTAAAACAGAACAGGACCATCAGCAGCTGACTGCCATAAAAACAGATTTGGGGTGCCTGTCAAAGAGCTTAACACCAAACACAGGGGCTCCTATCAGCCAGAAGGAATCTTTGCAAATAAAATAAAGCTGTGCTAATCAGCAGTTCTCCGCTAAAGGTGCTCAGCCCCTGGACTTTCTGGAAAGGGAATTTAGGCTGGAATGCAGCCCGCAGAAGTGGCTGAGGACCCCTGACATGGCAGAGGGCCTGGCCCAGCTCGGTGAGGGCCTGTCACAGCCAGTCTGGGTCCTGGCCCCATCTCCACGTGCACCGAAACTCTAGTCACAGAGAGACCAGTAGCCACTTGGCCGGGCGGTTGCTCAGATGCTGTGTTCTCGGCACCTTCCCAGCTGAAACGCCAGGTTCATTGGATTCAGGTGTTGTACCAAGACTCTCTCAGCCCTGGCTGGCAGCAGACCCAGGAAGGTAGAGGACACTCTCTGCCCAGGTCCATAGTTATCTTCTCCCCTGGTGAGCTCAGGAGGCAAAAAACCAACACCACACGTCTAGTTTCTGAGACAGGCAGCTCTGCAGACCCACACCCAAGGATCCCGCGGATGCTGCCCCAGTAGACCCCCAAAAGCGCTTCCCAGAGGCTTACCAGCTCCACCAGGAAGGCGGGGGTCACGCCGCCGGCCTTGTGGAAGGCCCAGGGGAAGTTGAGCAGGCCAGCCCCCAGTGCCGATTTCAGGAGGATGAAGACAGCACCCAGTGAGGACAGACTGGGGCTGGCAGTTGCCGGCTTTGCCAAAAGGTCTCTGCTTGCAGGGGTCAGTCCCTCCATGTCTAGAAGCAGCAGAGGGGTGGAGAGAGGGGACAGTATTTGCACTTTTTCCCCAGTTCACAGATGGCACCATTCTCTGGCTGTGACAGGTCTCTCTCCCCAGTTGTCAGAGCTACCGCATCTGTCACATTGTCCCCAAGCTGCCCTCTGCCTCTTTCTGTGCCTCCACTCCCCCTTCACCCTGTGCACTCCTGGGCCCACCCCTTCTGGGCCTCACTGCCTTTCACCCAGGGAACACCGCCCCCACCCCTTCCTCTAGCTTTCTTCCTGTTATTGTCCCCACTGCTCCCCCACTCAACCCAAGGCCACCGGACCCCCCCCTTCTCTTCCAAAGCCCCAACTCCTTCCTGCCCATCACTGCCATCACCCTCTCCCACCCCTCTGACAGACCTGGTCCTTACCACCAAAGGCAAACTCCAAGGTGAGAGACCGTCCTTGGCCACCACAGATGGACAGGGGCTCAGGCTCACGCCAGGTGGTTCAGCTGCATTTCTTGGACCTGAAGGGGTGGAAGATGGAAGGTTCTAGCACTGCTAGGGTGGCTAATGAGTCATGGACTGAGGAAGCCCTAAAGAGCATGTGTTTGGGTCATGTTCCAGAAGTTAGAGAGACAGGGACATGAAATCGGGGCCACCTGTCCCAAGAGCTTGTAGCTTCTGAGACTTCTGGCCTGAGAAAGGGAATCTGAAGACTCCCTCCCCTCCCACAGCCCAGTACAAGCCCCTCCCTGGGGGCGGGGAGTTCCCAGACTGGCTAAGGTGAGAGGGAGCTCCGCTGCCTGCTCCCACGCCCAGAAGGGGTGTGTTTCTCCATACCTCCTCCCTCCACGCCCTCCTGAGACCCCCAGTCTGAGGGAAAGGGCTTGGAGCTCAGTGTCTGGCAGCCTAGCTTCCCATCTGCACAACGGGCCGGTTTGCCACCTCCAAGGGGCCGGCGGGAGCTGCAGACTGAGGTGCGCAAAGGCAGCAGTTGCTTCCTTTAAACGCTCCCCAGTTGAACGTGCGCGGAAGCACCTGGGGTTCTTGTTAAAACGCACGTTCCAATCCGTTCCACCTTGAGACTCCTTCTTGTTAAAACGCACGTTCCAATCCGTTCCACCTGGAGACTCCTTCTTGTTAAAACGCACGTTCCAATCCGTTCCACCTGGAGACTCCACCTTGAGACTCCACATTTCCCACAAGCTCCAGGGAGGAAGGGGCAGCTGCTCCCAGACCACACTTTGAGTAGAGACCACCAATCCGACTATACCCATTGTCAGGTGAGATGGCAGCATTAAAAAAATGGTCCTGTTCTGGGAAATGTAGGCCCATAAAGGCCAGATCTTGAACTCAGATGCAACTGTGTTTATCCCTGGCCCCCAGGCTCAAAGTGCTCCCCACCTTTTAAAATATTTTATTTATTTATTTTTAGAGAGAGGGGGAGGGAGGGAGAGAAACATCCACCAGTTGCCTCTCGCATGCCCCCAACTGGAGACCTGGCCTGCAATCTAGGCTTGTGCCTGGACCAGGAATCGAACCAGCAACCTTAATGTTTGCAGGTCAGTGCTCAATCCGCTGAGCCACACCAGCCAGAACTCAAGGGCCCTTGAGGGTATGTTTGAACACAGATCTCAGAGCCCCATCCCTCGCATTTCTGATTCAGTGTGTCTGAGGTGGGGCCTGAGAATGTCCTTTTCTAACCAGCTCCCAGAGGGTGTCGATGCTGCGGGGCCGAGACCCCGCTTTGAGAACCGCTGCCTTGCGTTAAACATCTTCAACAGCCCAGAGTCTCTCCCAATCAGCCCTTATCCACCCGCCACCGGCTCAGCCCCGCCCTTTTACTCCCTGTGGTTTCTCAACCTCCTGGCTGTGTCACCTGCTTGCTGCCGACCCTTTTCATATCTTAGCGTGTGGTCCATAAATGTTTGACCTGCAGCGTGGCCGGCCTCCCAGCATGCAGTGGTGAGAAGGGAGCAGGACTGTAGCCAAAGAGCTCAGAGCTGGGCCAGGTATCGGGCAGTACTTACGCCGACACCTTGGGAGCAGTGCTCACAGCAGTGCTGCGCATGCTCACACCCAATCCCAAGGGGGCGTCACCTTAGTCAGACAGGGAGGGAACCCGGCTCAGGCAGGTGAAGCCAGTGGCTCAAAGGGTCATCACTGGAAAGTGACAGGACTGGGATTCAGCCCTAAGTGTGTGTCATCTCAATATCTGCAAAGTCACGTCGTCTCCCACCCCCTGTCCTGACTCTGTGCTTGGGATAGGAAGCACTGAATGAATGAGTGACTGAGTGACTGAGTGAGTGAGTGACTGACTGACTGAATGACTGACTGACTGAATGAATGAATGACTGACTGACTGACTGAATGAATGAATGAATGAATGAATAAATAGATGGCGGGATGAATACACAGACTCCAGGAAAGAGAGAAATGGGAGAGTCGCATGGCTCCCACCATGTGTCAATCTCCTGAGTCTGTTGTCATAGATATACAAGCTGGGAGGCTTAGAACAACAGAAATTTAGCCCTGGCTGAGTAGCCCAGTTGGTTACAGCATCATCCCAATATTGCCAAGGCTGCAGGTTCAATGCCTGGTCAGGGCACATACAAGCATCAACTAATGAATTAATAAATATGTGAAAAAAACAAACCAGTATCTCTCTCTCTCTCTCTCTCAAAATAAATTTTAAAAAACTTAAAACCCAGAAGTTTGTTCTCCCAGGTCTGGAGGTTGGAAGTCCAAAGTCAAGGCATGGGCAGGGCTGCGCTCCCTCTGAAGGCTCTGGGTGGGGAGCCTCCGGCCTCCTGCTCCCGGTGTCTCCAGGTGTTTCCTAGCTTGTGGCCCCATCACTCCAGTCTCTGCCTCTGTCTTCACGTGGCCTTCTCCCTGCATCTGTGCCCTCTCCTTTTCTTGTAAGGACAGTGGTCATTAGATTGAGGCCCCCTCGGGTGTTCCAGGAAGATCTCATCTCAACATCCTTAATGACACCTGCAAAGCCCCTTTTCCTAAATAAGTTCACCTTCATAGGTTCTGAGCCACGGGCTTATCTTTTAGGGGCCGCATTCAGCACACTATATCTGGGGTCTGACTGTGGTCTCAAATCACTCAGTCATTCAACAAACAGGGACTGGCTGATCACCTACTGCATGTTAGGCCTTGGGGATTCAGATGTGAAAGAGAAAGTCTCTGCTCTGGAGAGGGGACAGACAAATAACCGTGGTCCAGTGGGAGAGGGAGTAAACCCTGAGACTCAGGAGGGAGGGAAATCTGGAGGAGCTTCTTGGAGGTGGTACTGGGAGCTGAGGCCTCTATGTACCTTTGGGGAAAGGTGGCTGAGAGAGACATTCAGGGGAGTGGCGAGTCTCTGTTCAAAGGCTCAGCCCACAGGATGAGCCAATGTTCCCAGGAAGGCCAAGGTGTTCTGGTGTTGGGGTCGCCTTGGTGGAGACCCAGGTCAGGGTCCCTGGGAAAGGACTGTCTTACAGTGAGGAGGGCGGGGTGGCAGGTGGAGCCGGGCAGCAGCCGGCTAGGTGTAGGCTCTCCATCTGCTTTCTCTTCCACAGCCGAGCCTAAGGCAGGGAGGAGGAACCAGAGGAGGAACTGGCTGCAGCTTTGTACTCCTTCGTCTCAGCTCCTGGCACCTCTCTGCCCCTGCCTGGGCCTCTCATTAGCCACCTATTAACACGCATGACTTAGAAATTGGCCACCGGGCTGTGAAACTCCACTCAATGGGAAAACCTCTTAATTCCAAGGGGCTTTGATATGCTCTCTCTGCCAACATCCCAGGGCCCGGTGACCTTTTCCTAGCAGCAGAGAGGCGCCCTGTGGGGCCCCGTCTGTGTGGGCGGCAGGCCCACTCTGGTGCACAGGAAGGCAGTGAGGTGGCAAACCGGTCACCCTGGGATGGAGCAGGCGGGGGCTTAGCCCAGGGCTACACTTGGAAGCGGCTCCTGTCTCCTGCGTCATCCTACCAGGAGAGCAGCTGTCACCAGGGGTCGCTCCTGTGGTCCCTCCTTTCCCACTCCACAGAGCATGTATGGGTCACAAGACAAGTTAGGAAGTTCCAGGAGAAAGTAACTTCAGCTTATTTCCCAAGAAGTGGGATAAGAAGTTCTGGAAGACAGGTGAGGGCAGGTCTCAGGAGCCAGAGTTCCTGGGCCTGAAGGGTGACCTTGGCACGCACCGACAGTGATCTGGCCTCCCTGGAGTCACCTGTAAAATGGGGTGGGCAAAGCTGCCACCCTCCGAGGCTGTTAGAGGTTCAGGGAGAACATGCTCACGGCCCAGAAGTGAGCAGTGTGCATTAGCGGTGGTTGAAACAAGGACACACCAATTCCATTTCTGGCCTTGATGTGTTTTTCCATCTGCCAGATTCCGAGCTTCTGGAACAGCGTTCTGAACCTTGGCCACATGAGAATACCCAAGGGACTCTCCCAACTGCCAATGACAACCTACCCTCAGGGCTGCAGATGAACTTGGCCTGGCGCCGCCGGGTTTTGGATTTCTGTGAAGCTCCCAGGAGATGCTAACGTGCTGTGGAGAACCGCAGTTCTAAGCGGGTAGGGACCGTAGCTGACCCCTTGTCCCTGAGCCAAGCCCCTCTTTCCCCTGCAGCTTTCTGCCTGGGCCTGGCCCAGAGAAGGTAGTTTAATAAAATGCTGGGTGGAGTGACCCCAACACTGAAGGGGCACAGCCTCAGGGTCTTAAGATGACAGGAGCCGTGGACTTTTAAAGGTAGCTCCACTGTGCCAGTTAACCAGGAGGGACCCAAGTCCTCCTGCGAGAAATGAGTGACAGCTCAGAGACAGAGAAACCCAGTGTGCTCATCTGAACAATGGTCCCCAAAGGTCTCCTCAGACTAACTGCACAGCCAATGGGACTTTGCAAATGAGAGTGAGTTAAGGATCTTGAGATGGGGCAAGTACCCTGGGTGATCCAGGTGGCCCTAAGTGTGACCACAGTGTCCTTAAAGCTGGAATGTAGGAGAGGTCAGAGGTCAGAGAAGGTGCCGTGATACCAGAAGCAGAGGTTGGAGGGATCATAAAGGAAGTGGCTGTGAGCCAAGGAATTTGGGAAACCTCTAGAAGCTGAAAAAGGCAGGGAAACGGACCTCCTCTGGAGCCTGCAGAGGGAACCAGCCCTGCTGGCCCTGATTTTGGCCCCGGGAGACCGTTTCTGGACTTCCAACCCCTAGAACTGAGTAGGAGAATGAATGTGGTGTTTTATGCCATGAATTTGTGGTGATTTGTCTCAGAGGCAACAGGGAACTGATACACCAGCACCCTGAGGTCTGAGTACTGAAGCCCCCACTGGCCCTCAGCTTTGAGGGCGCAGCAGTGGGGGTCTCTTCTGCAGAGTCTGAGTGAGACATGGCCCAAGGGCATGGGCCTTGCCAAGTCCTGCTGTCCCCTCCCTGCAAGGAGGGGCTGGTGCCAGAGTTCTGCTCTGAGTGAAGGAAGGGGAACTGCATCTGGAAGGGAAAGGAAGCATCTTCAAAGTCACGTTGCTGACCTTCCTCCTACTCACTGCATCCTACGGAGGCTGCTCCATAGAGGTTTCGGCAGGAAGAGAGGCTGGCTCACAAGACGCAGCGGAGGGCTGGCTCAGGGCATGCTGCACCACCTGGGGCCTGAGCCCCGGAGAACCCCTCCCAGTCGCCAAACCAGGGGCTCCCACCTTGC